TTTCTATTTTATTATTATTATTTTTTTTTTTTTTATTATTAATATTTTATTTTAACGTTACGTACTTTTATTACCACCATTATTATTATTATTTTTTCTGTTTCGTTTTACCTGTTCGATTCTTGACTATTTATTTATATTTATTTATTTATTTACCTACCAACGCGACCGTCGGTAGGTAGGTAAATTACGTATTTATTTATTTTATTTATTTATTTATTACTTATTAAAAAAAATGGACGCGCACATACATTCGTAAAAAAAAAATCGCGTTTTAAAGTGATTTAATTAATTTGTGCGTAATATTTATTATTTATTAATCGGGTACGAGTTTGAAATTTATTTTCGGTCGATAATAATAATAATAATAATAGTTTTATTTAAAAAAAAAAGTGATTATTATTATTATTACGCCGTAAATTTGTGATTCGGGGGAAAAAAAAAATAAGAAAAACTCCGTCGTAATTATTATTATTATTATTACTACTACTACTACAACTACAACTGCTACCATCATCGAACTATCATTGATTGGGATTTTATTAATTGGATACTCGATTTTTATTATTATTATTATTATTATTAATCGTTAATAATAATAAAAACCTTTTTCTTAATTTTTTTTTTTTTTTTTTTAATGAAAAAGAAAAAGGTCTTCGCATCGTTTATTAATAGGGTAATGAAAATGAAAATGAAAAAGCAGAAGAAATCATTTTTTTTTTTTTTTTTTAAACGACATACGTAAATAAATGGGGAAAAGAAAAATAAAAGAAAAGAAAGAAAAATTTATTTAAATTGTTCAATTTGAACAACAAATTAAATTTTTATTTTTTTATTTTTTTATTTAACGCACGCAACTCGTCATTGTCATCAAATAATAATAATAATAATAATAATAATAATAATAATAATAATAATATTATTATTATTATTATAACTGTTATTGTTATGTATTTATCCGCGAAGGAAAGTTAGTATTGAAATTATTAGAAAAAATTTGAGGAAATGAATTTTAATTCGTCCCGTAAATAGGGTTAAAAATCAGCATTATTATTATTATTATTAAATCGTTTCAGAAAAAAAAAATTAATTAAATTAAATTAAATTTCTTTGTTTAGGGTTGAAAAGAAAAATCTAGAAAAAATTTTTCCGATTTGAATTTAATTAATAAGAAAAAAAAAAAAAAAAAACAAAAATTGAACGTAAAAAAACGCTTGAATTTTTCTTTCTTTCTTTTTTTTTTTTTTTTTTGATATAAATGGCTCGAAAAATTATTATCATTATCATTAATATTATTATTATTATTATTATTATTATTATTATTATTATAATTATTATTATTAATCTTATATTTTGAATAGGGCGCAAGTTTCGTGAAAATGCCGCGTACGGAGAGAGTTTTATGAAAATTTATCCGGAAAATTTTTATTTTTTTTTAATAATAAATGCTATTCGATTATTTTGAAGAATATCGTCATCATCATCATTATCATTATTATTATTACTATTATTATTATTATTATTATTATTATTATTATTATTATTATTATTGTCATCGTTCGTTTTCCGACAGTGAAATGCATATAAAAAAAAAAAAAAAAAAATTTTCTTAATAAACTCTCAACAGTTTCCGAATTATTAAAGTTCATTCATTTTCTATCATTCGCTTACTTAGGTTCCAGTTTTTTTTTTTGTTTTTCCCCTAAATCTTATCCCTCTCTCTCTCTCTCTCTCTCTCTCTTTCTCTCCTTTTTTCTCTTTCTCTTTTTCTCTTCTTTTCTCTCTCAGATTCTTTCGGTTTCTCCTTTTAAAAACGCATCGAATAGCATATTTAAAGGAAACGTAAATATCTTTGTTTGATATAGAATTTTTTAGTATTAAACGCAAATTTTTCACATTAGAAAAAAAAATGATAATAATAATGATGATGATGACGACGACGACGACGATGATGATGATGATGATTAAAGCCAAATCGAAAATCCTATTCATTACGTATAAAATTTTTTCTTTTTAAAAAATTTATTTATTTGCGCATCGTAAATAAATAAATAAATAAATAAATAAAAGCCGTAAAAAATAAATAATGATAATAATAATAATAATAATAATAATTTAAACAAAATTATTTCGGGTAAATAATTAATGATGATAATAATAATAATAAATCGGTAGAAAATCGATAAAAATTATTCAACGAATCCGAACCTGATTTTCGATATGCGTATTATTATTATTATTATTATTATTATGTATACGTATTATATTCACGAGTGAGCCGCGACGATGTTTTATTATTATTATTATTATTATTATTATTATTATTATTATTACTAATAATTTTTCACGCGATAATTTTTTATTTATTTATTGTAAATTTTCCTTACGACTAACAAATAATTTTTTATTTTATTTTTTATTTATTTCCACAACGTCTCTCTCTCTCTCTCTCTTTCTATCTATTTATCTATTTATCTATCTATCTCCATCTCTCTCTCACACACACACACACACATTTTTGTTTTTCGTTCGTTTGTAAGGAATCACACATGAGTGGATAGGAATAGGTTTATTCCTCGAGCCTTGATGCGTAAGCAAGCACCGACGCTCGCTCAAAAGTGTAAAAAAAAAAAAATAATTTTTTAATATCCAACTCGATTTTCCCTCTTTTTCTAACTCTCTCTTGCCTCACCTTTCTCTCTCTCTCTCTCTTTTACTTCTTTCTTCCAGAAAAAATAAATAAATAAGTAAAAAAAAAAAAAAAAAAAAACAAAAAAAGGCGAAAAATTTCACGTTCCGTTAATAAAACATAAACAAAAAAATTATTTTTTAGTTGATTTAACGAATTTTCTAATGACACGTACTCGCAACCTCTTCTCGTTCAACGCTTGTTATTATTATTATTATTATTATTTATTAAGTTTTTTTTTTTTTTTTTTTTGCTTGCCATAAATATGTTTATATAAAAATAATAATAATAATAATAATAATAATAATATTTTTTAAAAAAAAAAATTTTAAATTATTCGAGGGAACGAGCAGCGGGAACGAGAGCGTAAAAATTTTTTCATAGGTTTCCGTTGAAAAAAAAAAATTACAATTTCCGTCATTTTCATCATCATTATTATTATTATTATTATTATTTTAATTTTAATTTTTTTTTGTATTTTTTTTTTTTTTCGGCAGAATTTGTGCCTGAAATGACAGACGTAAAAAGTGACGGGTGTAGTGATTGTGTACCTAAAGTGTTTGACTGCGGTGATTAAAATATAAATTTTTACGAGGGGGAAAAAAAAAGAAAAACCCGACAGGAATTTTTTTTTTTTCGTCATCGTCGTCGTCGTCGTCATCATCATCATCATTTTTTTTTACAAAAGGTGAGTGAGCGAATATATATATATATATTTTTTTTTTCAATTAAAAAAAAAAAAAAGAAAAAAAAACGGAGTCGTTAAAATGGTTAAATGATTCGCTATAAAATATCAATTATTTATTTATAAGTTTGATTATTATTATTATTATTATTATTATTATTATTTGGTTTGTTGCGCTCGGACCCTTTGCGATGCCGTCGTCCATTTTGTTTTTTTTTTTTTTTTTTTATTAAGGCATCCTCCGCTGAGATTTTTTTTTATTTTTCGTAATTCACGTACGATACGACGAAACACACGACAATTTTTTTCACACGTAAATAAACATACAAAAACACGCGCACGCACTCACGCACGTACGTACACATCCTTATCATATTTTATAATTCTCCTATCATAATTAACAAATAAAAAAAAAAAAAAAAAGAAGTCACCAAACGGTTGCGTCGTCAGTCAGTCAGTCATTCAAACAAAAAAAAAAAAAAATGATAACGAAAATTTGTTTTGTATTTAATTTACAAAAAAAATTTTTTTTTTACGCGGTTTTGCTGACACTGTCGACGACGTGGAAGAAGAAGAAGAAGAAGAAGAAAAAGAAAAAAAATGATTTTTTTTTTTTTTTTCAAATAATAATCTTCCGTCGGACGACGATAGTGAATTTAATAATCTTCCTAATTCTTCCTACTTTTTATTAACTACCTGTTAGCCATGTCAAGGGAATAATACCACCACTACCACTACCACCACCACCACCACGTTCGACCTAGAAGCGAAGGTAAAGGGATGTGACGTAATCAACCGTCACTGATAAAACGTCGAAACGTCCTTAAACAACCTTCCGTATCATGAGAGATAATTTTAAAAAGTGATAAGACGTTTTTTTTTTTTATAGTCATTTGATTATTTATGACAAAAAAAAAAAAAAAAAAAAATTCATAGAAAATTCGAATTTTTGCAAGAGAGAGAGAGAGAGAGAGAGTGTGTTGGAAGATGAAGAACCAGGAAAAAAAAACCCTTCGGGTATCGACAACGATGACGATGACGATGACGGAGACGACGACGACGACCACCGACGACCACCGACGACGACGACAACGAGCGACGATGCTATAAAAATCCCCCTAAGAAAAAATTATTATTATTATTATTATTATTATTATTTTTATTATTTTATAGCGAATGGGTTATTTATAATAATCTATTGACAGTTTTGTCAATCTCATAAAATTATTTAATCCTAATTCTTTAACGTATTTTATAGTCTATAAATTTAAAAGAAAAAAAAAAAAAAAAAAAAATTAATTAAAATTTTTTATTTTTATAATTTCGCATTGTCAACACGCACACACGCACACAAACGTTCACATGTTTTTAATCATATGTAAATATTCTCTCTCTCTCTCACTCTCTCACTCTTTTAAATGATCTAAAAGAGGAGCATAGTTTTTTTTTTTTTTGTGTGTGTGTGTGATAAGATAATAAAGACGTCACGGTTATTGTTGTGAAACAACATATCGGCCCGATATTTATACCGTGATAAGAAAGGGCTGAAAATGAAGGAGAGAAGAAGAAGAAGAAGAAGAAAGGAAATGTATAGTAACCCGTTTTTTTTGTTTTTTCACAGATAAAATGGACGAACATTCGCAAAATTCAGTTAACATTGTCGCATCGTCGATATCCGCATCGTCGTTGCCCTATTCCCACCTGTATCCGAGTAGCAGAACTCCGTACGATTTGCCTCATCAACAACAGTTGCCGCCTCATCAGCAACATCATCAGGCATCTCTCGCTCGTCCGACGTATGCGGAACACAACGCGAGTTCGAGAACATCTTTCGACGTCGTTCAAAACTCTCGAACTTTCGATATATCGTCGACGTATCCAATGAATGATCTCGGTCGGTATTCGTCTTCGGACGATGGAAATAACAGATATCAAAACGATTTCGATTATCGTTGCGAAGAAAACACGCGTATTAGCGATGGGAATCAAAGAATGACGGGTGACGAATATTGGGTGGGAGGGAATTCTTCTGCCACGAATTTAACAAACGGACCCATTGAAAATAGACTCGGGTATTTTGGACACGTGACGGATGTTAAACCCTCGGGTATTAATCAGGGGAAAATGATTAAGGAAGCGAGGATTCGAAGGCCCATGAACGCTTTCATGGTTTGGGCAAAAGTCGAAAGGAAAAAATTGGCGGATGAAAATCCAGATCTCCATAATGCGGATTTATCCAAAATGTTGGGTGAGTTTTATTATTATTATTATTATTATTTTTTTTTTTTTTGGTCAATTACGTACTCGTATCCTCGACCCAATTACAACCTTCGTAATAATGTCCGATGGAGAAATTAATTAATAATAAGTATTACCCGATAAGAAATTCTGTAGGCTCGTACTTATATTCGAACTCATTACTGACGTAATCAATGCCCCCCGCACACACACACACACACACATCTCTGCGACTTTCTTTCAAAATAATCACTACTACCAACCGAAAACTTGTTTTTTTTTTGGTACTGGAGAGAGAGAGAGGTAGGAGGAGGTATACGAGAGCCTGGAGATACGAATCCGCTCCTTTAATTAACGCGGTAATAAATATTATCTCGGTTATTAAAAAAAAGTTCTTATCGACTCCGATTTACGGTATCTTCTTTTTTTTCCGTCTTGGAGATGTCTTTTGTGTCTTTACTACCATTTTTGATACAACCCAAAAAAAAAAAAAAAAATTTATTCCGATATAATAAACATTTTAAACGATTCCCCCCACCCCCACCCCCCCGGGCCTGGAGGTTCCACGGAAATTTTGATTTATGCTTGTGGTGGTGGTGGTGGCTTATGATGGTTGATTTTCATCTTTTTTTTTTTTTTTTTTTTTTTCTCGTTCGTTCCCTTATATCTTTTCATCTTTTTTATTTATTTATTTATTTATTTAAAATTTCATTCATATCTTCTGCAACAAACTCCCCTCCCCCTCACCCTCCCTCTCTATCTCTATCTCTCTCTTTCTCGTCGTTTTCAATATTTTAACGTATTCGATTATTTTACCTTTTCTTACCTGTTTTCCCCCCTCTCACTCTCTCTCTCTCTCTCTCACTCACATTCTCGATCTTTCCTTTTATCCTCCTCCTTCTCCTTCTATTCTTTTATCGGGAGACATGATCTTTTAGGATTTTTTTCGTTTTTCCATTTTCTTTTTTTTTTTATTTTTATTTTTTTTTATATTTTGAATAAGCCATTACCGTGTCTCGCGATAGTTCGGACGGAGTTTATCGTTTAATTTAACCTTCATCTTTTTTTTTTTTTTTTTTTTAAAGTTGCCCATCGTTAATAAATTTACCCGATCTATTTTTTTGCTGACTTTGTATAGAACCGTTTTACTCGAGTTTTTTTTTTTTTTTTGCCTATTATTATCATTATCATCACCGATCGATCGTTTATTATTATTATTATTATTATTATTATTCGTTAATGTTTTCATTTTTTCCCCAGCACAGTTTCTCTCTCTCAATATATTTGTCTATCTATCCACTCCGTCGAGTTTTTTTTTTTTTTTTTTTTTTTTTTTGGGGGAGTTTTTCTTTTTTTTTTTTTTTTTTTTTTGTTAGGGGTTTGGGGAATGGTACAAAAACCCCCCCGGGCCCGTAGGGGGAGAACAGATCATTTTAAACGACTTACCTCGACTATTTCCTTTGCAAACCTTTCAATTTTATTTTATTTTTTTTTGTTGTTGTGTGATTCGTTTCGAGTGTCAGTAAGAAAGAAAAAAAGAAAGAAAAAATTTATCGAAACGATTCGATATATCTATCTATACTACTCCCACAATCGATCGATCGATCTATCGATTGCAAAAAAAAAAAAAAATGATTTGATAAGCCGAAAATGAGTATAAGAAAAAAAAAAATTAAATTTAAACATTTTCATACGTCGTATTTACTATTTTGTTGTGATTGTTGTGGTTGTTGTATAGGTTCGATATATATTTGCCCCTCCGGGGCAAATTTAAAAAAAAAAAAAAAAAAGACTGACAACGGAGATTTAAACGTCATCATGTCTAATGAATGATCTTTGGGGTCGCCTTTTTTTTTTTTTTTAAAAAAAAAATTCTTTTCTCTTTTTTTTTTTTTTTTTTTTTTTTTTCTTTCAACCTTAATTATTATGGTTGTGTCAAGTAGGTGTTTTCGTTTCGTTTAATCATTCCACGGCAAAATTTTCTTTTTTTTTTTTTTTTTCTCCAAGAGAAAATTTACGGGATTCGAACTCGCGATCGTTTCGTCTCGCGTCGATCAATTCCCCATTCAAAATAAATGATAATCCGTGAGAGAGAGAGAATAAAAAATATGACGAAAAATAACAAAGAGAGCGAGAGAGAGAGAGAGAGAGAGATAGTCGAAATGATTTACTCTTTCCCGTTTGAAAATTTAATTTAAATTTTAAATCGTATAATAATAAAATGGCGGGAAAAAAAAAATTGACGTAAAGTTTTTTTATTATTAATTAAATCGTGTTTAATAAAATATATAAGATTCGTGTCGATTAATCGCGCGTCGTTTACGAGCCTAAATAAATATCGATGTGGGTGAGATAGAAAGAGAGAGAGAGAGAGAGAGAGAGATAGATAGAGATAGAGAGAGTGTGGGGTTTATGGGACATCGATGGTTACGATCGTTACCATCATCGTCCTAGTATAATAATAATAATAATAATAATAATAATAATAATAATAATAATAATAATCGGAATAATTCGTGGTCCAAGCGGAGGTGTGTCCGGTCTAATCTCGTCATTTGGGTGTAAATAATTTTAAAATAAATTATCGAGAATCGAGATCTCGCGATTATTTACATTAGGGGTGGAGAACCAGAATCATTTGTAATAGTCAATAGGTCGTACCTGATTAAAACGCCCTATTTTTTTTTTTATATTAAATGAATATTGGAAACGAAACGTAAATGAAAGTAAGCAGTTTTTTTTTTTTTTTTATTATACTAATAATAATAATAATAATAATGATGATGATGACGATGGTGTTGGTGGTGGTAATGCACGCGGTAAAAATTTTTATTAGTTATTAAGTTAACGCGAAATTTATTTTTAATGAAATTTATTATTATTATTATTATTATTATTATTATTATTACTACCACATAAAGAGGTATAAAGGAAAACGAAGAGAGAGAGAGAGAGAGAAAGGAAGGATGAGGAAAAAGAAGAAAAAAAGTTTTTTAGCGTGAGAGAGAGATTAGTAGTAGAAACCGCTATGCGAGAGGAAGAGTGAGAGAGAGAGAGAGAGAGAGGTGACTGAAAAAGATTTACGAAACGGAAACAATAGAATAAGACTAATGTTAATCTTTACTAAAATGATTATAATGCCGGACGTTGCTAAACAAAGAAAGAGGGAGAGAGAGAGGGGGGAGAGAGAGTGAGAGAGAGAGAGAGATGTATATACGATGAAAGGACGGTTGAACATCTGAGAAAAAAAAGACAACCGAGGCTAAACGCCGGCGGAAACAAATCGGAAATGAAGTTCCGTTTAAATAAACCCGTACATGTTTTTTTTTTTTTTTTTTTTTTTTCGTTCGAAAAGGCCGAGTGAACACGCAGGAGGGAGAAAAAAAAAAATTTAATTTTTTTTTTTTTTTTTATTTGCAATTTTTTATATTCATTTCGCGCCGCCATGTTTGGTCCCAACACAAAATTGGACATTCTAATTTTTTTTTCGTAAGAGAAGGGCATTTTTCTAATTAGTCAGTCACTTACCTTGATGATGAGACGGCATAAAAACAAAGAGAGAGAGAGAGAGAGAGAGAGGTAGAGAGAGATAGAAAAACAAAAAATTTTTTTTGTTTTGTTTTTCGAGTTGGTTAAGCCGACGAATGGAACGAACACGAAGGCAACGAACCGATTTCAGTTTTATTTTAAATAAAATTAATTTAATTTAATAAAAATCAAATTCGATATCGTAGTGAGAGAGAGAGAGAGAGAGAGACTATATATATATAAATTGAATGAGGCGTGTTGTCATTTCCTCCCTTATTCCGATACTGTCGTGAGAATATGTTTAGGGTAGACAATCGAAACGAGCATAATCAGCATATATTTGTATATAACCCATCACAAAGAATTTTAAATGCTGATTTGTAATAAAAAAAAAAAAAAAAGAAGGAAAGGAAGAAAGAAAGAAAGAAAAGAAAACTGACTTGTCAAGAACTTGTCAACTTGTCGATCATCGGGTCACATACGATCGTCGATGACGATTTACAAGGCGGTGGGTGAACTTTAGAATTCTCTTTTGGAAACAAATCAAAAAAATTATCGAAAAATCATAGAGAGAGAGTGAAAAATCATAGAGAGAAAGAGAGAGAGATAGATTTAAAAGTTAACAAAACAAAAAAAAAATTTTTTTTTTTTTTTTTTTTTTTTTTAACTTTTAAAATTTTCTCAAGACGAACAAAGAAAGGTTCACTTTGGAATGTGAAAAAATGATGATGCCCAGTTAGGCGAGAGTTTTAATGGGGATCACCCAACCGGAACCTCCCTCCTTTCTCAGGTACAAAATAATGAACTTCCGGTTCGAGAATGTTACAGGCTTCGTTTTTTTTTTTTTTTTTTTCGACGTACGAATTAATAAACAAATGCAATATCAATCGGTCGTTTCGTTTTTTTTTTTTTTTTTTTTAATTCGACGAAAATTTTAACCTTTTCCCTCCCCTCCCCCCCCTTTGACCCTTTGACCTTTTTTATCCCGAGTCCAACCGACAGCGATTAGGGGGGAAAAAAAAAAAAAAAACGAGTCTTCGACATATCGATTCGGGAGACACGTCGCATCGGGTTTTTTTCTCACTCGCGATTTAAACATGGCGGCGACGATGACGATAATGATGATGATGATTTCACAACGTTTCAGGTATTAAAAAAAAAAAAAACGAAATTTTTAATCACCGCGCCAAAATTATATCGAATTCAAATTCAAAAAAAAAAAAGAAAAAAAAGAAAAGAAAGTTAATCATAATCATCATCATCATCATCGTCTTCGTTTATAAACATGGCCGCCATCGAAATAATTCTTTTTTATTTTATTTTATTTTATTTTATTTACGACGCAACAGAAATTGATATATTGCGTATTATTATTATTATTATTATTATTATTATTATTATTACGAGAGCAGGAACGCCTTTAAAAAAAAATCAAGTTTCTAACTTACGCGACAAGGCATAATTTATAATAATAATAATAATAATAATAATAATAATAATAAATTATTTATTTATACCTTAAACCTTAATTGCAATGATTTAATAATAAAAAGGTTCAGGTGTTGATTGCGTTTATTCAAAGGTGTTTGCTCGAATGGAAAAAAGTAAAAACTTGTTGTTGTTGTTATTGTTGTTGTTGTAATTTCGACTCGTTTTGTTTGTTGTTGTTGTTGTTGTCAGTTTGACTTTTAAATTAATTTTTTTTTTTTTTTTTTGTTAAATTCGAAAACTTTTAAAAAAATTATTATTATTATTATTATTTTAAAGAGAGAAGTGACAAATTCTTCTTTTTTCACGACGGAATTTTTTTCGTGGAGTTAGACAAAACGGTGCGAAAATTTAAAATCGGTGTGAGAAAACTCGAAAAAA